CGTGAATTTTGTTCGTATCTGAAAAAAATCTTAGAATACGAAAAAATTGGTGAATGCCACAAATTCTCCTAAATCACTCGTACGCACAACTTAAGAACAAATCTGTGCGTACGAATGGTTCTTGCATGAGGCCCATTATGTTTATCAAATAAAGTCTAACATTACATCTAGTGAAGGTACTGTAGATATTCACATGTGGACAAAATTGTTGGTAACTCTCGTTTAATGACAGAAAATGGTCACAGAAATAATCTGACAAAAGTGAAATTCTATAAAAATGAACAAATGGAAGTCAGACATTGCTTTTCAGCCATGCTTCAACTGAATAAAAAAATAGAACTCATGAAGTAGGCCTGGACAGAAATGATGGTACCCCTGAAAATAATGTGAGGTCATGTTAAATCAAGGTGTGTCCACTAATGAGCATCATAGGTGTCTACAGTCTTGTAATCAGTCAGTGGGCCTGTATATAGGACTACAAATACTCACTGTGTTGTTTGGTGACRTGGTGTGGACCAYRCTCAACATGGACCAGAGGAAGACAAGGAAAGAGTTGTCTCAGGAGATTAGAAAGAAAATTATAGCCAAGCAYGTTAAAGGTAAAGGTTATAAGACCATCTCCAAGCAGCTTGATGTTCCTGTGACTACACTTATTATTCAGAAATTTAAAATCCATGGGACTAAAGCCAACAGTGTTGTTTTCGTTAACGATGATGAAATATTTTTGTTGACGTCCCCCTTTTTTCATGACGATAAGAGACAGTAACGAATTAAACATAACTCTTTGATGACTAAGACGTGACGAAACGTGTTTGAGTTTTCGTTGACGAGACTGGACGAAATTAGTCGGTGGTCTGTCAGTTATTTAGAATGCAGAGTGGAGGGAGGGACAGCAGCGCTGTTACACGCACGCGCAGCACAGAACATTTACTCCTGTTCTCTCACAGCCTGCGCCGCTTCGCAAAAAAAATAAATAAAAAATTCCGTCCGTCACCTGTAGCTTAACCAGGGAGTAACGTCTTCACCACCATTAAAAGCTGTTGCAGGTCCATTCTGAGTGCTCAGAAGCTGTTTATTTACGTTCATGATGAAAGTAAAACTCTTTTTTTTTTTTTTGGCCGGGGGGAGTTAGCCACTGTGCATGTCGGTGCTTCTGTTCTGAATAAAAGCCTGGTGCTTGTAAACACTTGTTTGCACAAGTTTAATAGTCTACTAACTAAGTTTAGGACTGCATGATGTCMGTTTTTATAAATAAGATGCATCGGCATCTTCCTGGCTGACAAGTTTCAGTTGAACATGCCTGTTCCCCTTTTCTGCTTACAGGGCATGTGTATTGTGTATGTTCATTGCACTTTAGCAAATTCTGAGAAATAAAGCCACAAAGTGAGAATGTTTTTGTTTTGGGCAAACACAAATTCACAAACGTTAACACAAATTACTCAAATTAATTTGTAAAGACTAATATGCTGTCTTTTTTAAAGAATAAAACTAAACAATTTTTTTTGTTTTTGTCGACTAAAACTGGACTAAAACCATTAAATATAGAAATAACTAAAACTGACTAAAAC